CTCTCTGAACGGAGGCATTTTCTTAGCAACAGGTGAAGTACTGGTTCCTCGGCGTTTCGAGGGAGAAAAAAAACGCTTCCGAGATCCGGCTAGGAGGCCATCACGACGTCTTCGTCGCGGAAGCCGTAAACGAGATCCGGGCCAGAGGACTTCTGCTCCGACTACCGTTGCCAATATCCCTCAGATTTACTCGAGTTCGGGGGATTTTGAGGACAGTTTTCGACTCCTTGAGGGAGCTGTCTAAATCCCCGTCTTTCGTCGAAAAGATAACCAGGGGCGGGCAATCAGAGAAACGATCTCAATTCCTAAACTTATTCCGGCAGTCCGTTAATCGCCTTCGCCAGTATTCGGCGGCGCATCCTCTCGGAAACTGCCGGAGCTTGAGTCCTGGGAATTTCCCTTCGTGACATAAAAGTCCCTGCTCAATGGGTGCAAGGAACCTCTCGGCATCGGAGCTGTATCATATCGCTCCAAATCTTCGGGAGCGGTGCTGACGGCCAGGAGGCCGACCGACCGAGCGCCTGAGGAAGGCCCGTGAACCCACAAATTCGCGAGTGACTCTCTGTCAATCGGCTTGCGTCTGATCGTTTATTCAAACTCTTATATCTTCCTTTCCAGGTGTCATCACCGACAGGAATATTCTAGGACGACGCTGCAAGTGCACCTCGAAGGGGGAGTGTGGTCAGACGGTTCGTGACAAAGTTCCGCAAGTGAAGTGATAAGAGTGCGTGAGATCCCGTTGACGACTGAACGATGATCAAATAATGAAACCACGGATTATGTGTAGCCAGTGCAGTAAACTCATGAACCCCTTCGACTAGGAGCAAATGGATTCTTCCAACATGGTGAGTTTTTTCCCTTGCTCTCCTGCCATGTGATCGGATGCTCGTCTGGCCGAAATTGGCAGAGGAACTCGAAATAGATAGACATCGCGGGACGGTGGGGAGCCCGTGACATGGCGCATACGGGCTGGAACATTCCGGCGGAGACTGATCGGCTCCGAACTGAGCGACTCCTTTTCCCTAAGGACAGCACAATCGGTAGAAGAGCTGCGCAAGTCGATAGGTAGATCCTGTGCATTTCGGCGTCGCTCTCTCGTGAGGTGCTCGAGCCCGAACGGTGTCGTTATCGCTCCCCTCCGTTGCATGAGAGGATTGATTCCGTTGATTGAGGATTGATTGATTGGGAGGTACTGTGCGATGATGGTGGACTGGGACGAATAATCCGCATACCAGCAATACAGAGGGCAATGGAGAGAGGCGAGTGCGGAAGAGGGGCTGCGGTCGAGGACGCATTGGCGGAAAAAGACGCATGAGGAAGCTCTTCTCTTCACTCCTCCGCTAATCCTCTCGACATGCCTGAGGTCTCTCCACATGCATATTTCCGTTTGTTCTATGATCTGTGTTTCTTTTGCCTATTCTCCCGCTTCCCACCGCGAACATCCCTCGTTTATTCGTTGTTTGGCTGCTCTCCTCGTACCCATGTGAAGAACGGTGTCTCTCAGGTCTTTCTACTTGCTCGATCTTCCTTCTCTGCTCCTTAAGGCCTGCGCTGCTCGTGCCGGCCGAGGTGGTCTTTCCTCTTCCTTTTCCCTATCCCCATTCTCCTCTTCCTTCTCAATGTCGGCCTCGAGCTCACTCTGTGTCTCATTCGCTATCCCTTATTTTCTCCCTCTATTTGTCCCTCTCTTCTCGCTTTGCCTGTGCCGCTGAGGCTTCATCGTCGTATTCTCCTTCCTCGTCTTACTCTTTTCGGTCGTTTCCTCCTTTTGCTTCTCGTCCCTTGCTGCTGTGCCTTCGTCGTTGTCGTCGTTTGCCCCTTTCGTCTCTTGTTCTCCTCCTTTTGCCGTTGTCTCCCCAAACCGGCTGGCTGGTTGGTTCTTTTGCCTCGGCTGGCTGGCTGGTTCGCTTCTCACGGCTCTCTTGCTTCCTTTCGATGGAAGCGGCTGCTCTGCTTTTCGCTGGTTGTTTCTCTCTGGTCGTCGTCCTCCTTTCCGTCCCTTCCTTCCTTTACTTGGCGGATGGTTTGCTCGCCTGCTTGCTCGCCCACTATTCCCCCCTGCTGCCCCGTGCCGCCAGCCGGCCTGGCAAGCAGACAGACGAGCAAGGCTGGCTGGCGTGCTGTTTCGTCCCCCACGCGTTTCCCAGGCAGGCAAGCAAGCAAGCAACGCTCATGGCGTTTCTCTCATCCTGCTGTACTCTGCTTCTCGTCGTCGTCGTCGTCGTTCGCATCGTCTCCCTCCCCCCTCCTGTCTCTCCCTCAATCCCGTTGTGTGTCGCTCTCTTCTCCCTCTAATATAACTCCCTCGGTCGTTGGGGACTGGCAGGGGGGAACGGACGGACGAGCGGGCGGGCGGGCGGCCGGGGCCTTTCGATCCGGTCGTCAGGGCTTCGAGGGGGCAGTCGCTTGGGTGAAGGGGACGTCGACGACGACGGACGGACAGGCGAACGGGTAGACGGCCGAACGGACGGTCGGTGGGGGGAAGAGGGATCGGCGGAGGGACGGACGACGAAGAAGACCGAAAGGGGACCAAGGGAAGGAGGACCGAACCGACGTACCGACGGAGGGAGGGAGCAAGGGTGAGAGGCAGGCAAGGAAGAACGAAAGGAAGAAAGACGAGAGAAAGGCAGGGAGAGGAGGGCATTGGAGGGGGATTGTAAGAGATGTAGCAGGGCCAGCTGAGAGTAGGCAGGGAAGACCGAGGGGGAGTGAGATGGGGGTAGGCGACGAGGAACGGAGTAGGGGCGGCGGAGCGGGAACGGTGAGCGGCTGGAGGAGTAGGAGTCGACGACGACGGGGGGGGGGAGGAGACGAGGCCGCTGCCGTCGCTGCTGCCACCAGGGAGGGACAAGAAAGGGGGAAATGGTGCCTGCCTGCTCGCAGGGCAGTCATTCAGCCGAGCCCACCGGGAGGGGGAAGGCTCCACCCCTCACTCTGTGTCTCGTTCACTCACTCTTTCTAGGGCTGGCTGGCCGAGCGGCCGGCCGGCTGGCTCACTCCCTCACTCGTCCTCTCTCGTTTCCTCGCTGGCTGGCTTGCTTGCCTGGCTGCAGACAGCTCGCTAGCTCGCTCGCTCGTTCCCTCGTTCCTAGGAGGGCTGGAGGAGAACAGCGGCACAGTCTGGAGAAGCAGCAGCAAGAGGAAGGCCAGTCCGCCAGCCAACCAAGCAGCCAGCCAGCCAGCGAGTGAGGCTAGCTCGCAGGATAGTCGGATGGCTGGCTCGTTCGTTGCTGCTCCCGTCCTTCGTTGCTTGTTCCTCGGAGGAGGGAACCAACCAGCCAACCAGCCGACCAACCGGCCGACTTACCATCCTGCTGCCAGGCGGCTAGTCAAGCTGGCAGGCAGGATTGTAGCGAGCGGACGGGCGGCGGGCGGTGGCATGGCCGAAGCGGCCAGACAGGCAGGCGAGCTCACTCTTGCTTCCCTCCTCCCATTACTTTCTCCTCCTTCTTTTCCTGCTTCAACTCGTTGTTCTCCTTCTGTTTCTTCTCCTTCCCGGTAGGCTTGCCGGCCTGCTGTCGAGCAGACAAGCGAGTCGGCAGCCAGTTCCCCCACCTGCCTGCCTGTCTGCCTGCTCACTTGCTCGCTCGCTTGCTTACTCGTCTCGCTTTCGCCGGTAATTTGGCAGACAGGCGACTCGACGGTTGCTTACCTCGCTGGTCGAGAAGAGTGGCTTTTCACGGCGCTATTGCCGTCTCTCCGACATCCGAAATGTGACCGAGACCCCTCTACAACATCATGACTTGACTTGTGAATCTTGAATCGTAGGCCTCGAGCTGGCGACCTCCGTCGTGGAGGTTCATCGACATCCCGATGACTGTTTCCGAGCTCGAGCTCTCCTCCGATCTTGGTTACGGAACATTCATGGAGGAAGAGTGTTCCTAATCCCCGTTCGAGCGCCAAAAAAGCGAAGCTGAGTCCTCCGAGCCGGTTGGGAGCAGACCCGTGGACTCCAAGGTCGCTACTCCGCAAAAAAGGGCAACGACTATCGCCGTCACTGCAGAGGCGCGATCGCTTCGGACGCTTGTCATGCCCCAGCCCTCCATTGGAGCTTAGGGAACACACTTGTCGGTTGGGGTGAGCTCGTGAATTTTCCACACCGTCAAGACAATTATCATTAATTTCGAACTAGATTTGCCGGATCTCACACATCCTTCTCGGGGCTGAAGCTTTCGGTTGCTCTCGTGAAGGAGCGCTACCGGTACGATATTCTGGTATCGGAGAACAACTCAAGCCAAGACGCATATCGGCGGTGCCGACGTACGCTGAAAGTCTTCGCATGCTACCTGTTGCATTCATCTGACGCGATACATTCATCTGCTACCTTTTTCGGATTTTTGATTCGCGTCCGATTTCGAAGTCGTCTCTCGAAGCCGCCGGGAGGGCGATGTATCCGAGGCTCTCCGTCTCATTGACGATGGAATAAAAGAACATCCATGTAGAAAAAAACGACGCCGTACGACTCAATGTCATCCGTCAACGCCGAAAGTCTGTCTGACTCGCCGGTTGACCGTGAGCACTCAAAAGTTGGCCGTGTTTCCTGCCCTTCGCCTGGCGTTCCAAAGGAATCTGCTGCGGTGTGGTGCCGAGCGATGACTGGCCCTACGGAGCGTTCGTCTTACCGGCGGATAGAAAATTACGGATAGAAAAAGGAATTCTTATTTTAACGGATCGAATGAGCGGTCGATTTCCTTGACGCTGCCGCTGCTTAATTCGCTGCTGTGGCTGCTCAAGACATCAGCATAGAATTACAAGGTCGTATGGGCTACAAGACGCTGTCTCGCTCGTCTGTTTCCAGTCTGCGTATCTCTCCGGGCCGATGGCCGACACGCGGGATCGGACCTCTGTCAAGGGGTTTCGGTGCGGAAGGATTTGTTGAGCCTTGCGCTCAGTCGATCGCTCGCGGAGATGGCACGAGATCGTGGGTGATCATCTGGGGGTTTGCGAACTCTGGGGCATTATTACGACCGCGAAATCTATCGATCTGACGCATCTATGAAATGAGGAAAGTACGCGTGGCCAAGACGATCATTTCGTCGGATGATCTGGCTCAGAGCTATCTTTGCTCCGCGCACGCTGGCGAAGTCTGAGACCTTTCCAGAGTTGGGTGGGGATCCGATGAACCGAAATGTAAAATCTCATGCAAGCTTCAGACCGTCTCCGTCGCCGGCTCCAAGAATTCCACCTTTTCGACTTCGGATGA